TTCTTTAGTTAGTTAGCTTCGTGGTCCTTTTCTTTTCCTTTTTTTTTAAACTACCAGCTTTTCTTTCTCTTCTTGTTTTTTCCTAGTACCAGTATATTTTACGGTTCCTGAGTATTTTTTTTTTAAAACTAAGCAAAGAAGCAACTTTAGTTTGGCATAGATTTTCAATAAAACTGTATAGATTTTGAGGGCGATCAGAACAGGTTCTTTACTTTCAGGAGGAGACTCCCACTCCCCCGACGTGACAGTTGCTTTTTTTGCCTTCCTGGTAGATATTTAACTCTGCTGCCATCTTTCACACTCTTCAGCCAACATCTATCGATGTGGGCTGGACATTATGAAAGATATTATTCTGCATCTAAGCTGGGCAGACATTTCTCTTTACTTTGTCATTTGAATAACATACTGTGTTACTAATGTGGGGAGACGATTACTTACATTTACAAAATTCTTAAATTTAGCACAAATTTCGCAGAGCGAAAAATTCCATATTTTTCACAACTGCAGAACATGTATAAGCAAAATTATTAAATCTGTTTAATCTTAAATAAACGCGTAAGCAATCAACGAAAAAACATTTTTTCGCGTTCAATAAACCAGACTGCAAATTATCTACAGTTAACAAGACTCCAATTTACAGTCGCAGAATTGCAGAAGAAATCGGAGAAAATATTTGCTTTTCATAATTATGTAGTTTGGGGCAAACAGCGTTTACAAAATTTTTCACTGTACTATCTCTTTCTGTCTGTTATCTATATATGTTAGATAAAAAATATGAAAGCAGACTTCTAATTTTAATTTGCTACAACCTCTTTTATTTTTTATTTAAGTTGGGGATTTCCTATCTCTATCTTAAAAATAGTGCGGTAAGTCTAAACTGCGTCATTCAAATTAATCATACGATCTTACTTAACACTTAATGCAGATATCTCTTGACCATTCAAAGTAATTGTAAACCAAAACTTTTTGACTCCCCCCCTTTCTTCCTCTGCATTACTACTACGACACTCTTCCCTTTTCGCTTGCGATTTCATCCTGGCAAGATGCTGCTGCAATCTATGTGCTGCTATGATCACTTCTATCGCCATAGTATCAAAATTGTAAATGTTCTGGAAATAGGCACGATTGGAGAGCCAAGTAAATAGTGAGCGCAAATGTGAATTTAAACAAATATGGAATTTAATACGGCTCGACTGCTTCTTTTACAAAATGGATAGACGCTCTAAGCATCTAGTATCTACGCCATCGGTATTTCTACTTTTCTACGTCTCAGTGTTCCTATCATCAGTGCTTCCAAAACTGTGCTATCATTATATATATATATATACATACATAAACTCTTAACATAAACTAGAGCGGTTTATCATCAGAGACGTTTCACCATTATTACTAGGAGCGTTTCGTAAGAAATGAAAACGAACTCTGTGCGATTCCAGTGAAACAAAAAATATATTAGTTAAATATTCATTACATCCGCTAGGAAAGCCTTTATCTACATTTCCCTACCTCTGTCTCTCTATATATGTATGATATGTAGTTACAGAATAATGTAAGTATTTGTTAAAATGCGTTTGATTACTATTATAATTGCACCTGATTTCATGCAAAAGTTACCTTAAATCTAACTAGCTATTATTAATTTCAGAAATATCCCATCTCGATTCCTGTCCAAAAATTAAATAATGAAGCAAAAGATGTAAAAAAGAAAAGTATTTTTTAAAACTCATTGAAACTTGCACAGATTATGGGGTATAACAAAAGACGCTAGCGGGAGGAAATTCGAAGAAAACGATCGATGGATAATTAAATAATACTGGTTAATAAACCTATGGAATTTTTGTTGGAAATAAAAAAAGTTTTTTGACGGAGATCTCTCAACTAAATACAAAATCAGATGATCCGTGCTTGAAATACATGTCCGGTTCATGCCAAGAATAAGATCTCCTATGGTGGCTTAGGTCAGTGGTTTCAAATACAAACTGCATGAAGGCCGAATACACGATCTGGAAATAGCTAACTTTTTTTAATGAAAACTTTTATTAGCAAATAAAAAATATTTTTAATAATTAAATTTTGCTTACTAAATATATATCAAAACATACATAAGCAATAGTAATTATATCACAAAGGCAGGAAAATCAAATTTATATTTATTTTTTCCTGAAATATAAAGTTTGGTAACTGCATGGCATTTTTGTTGGGTATATTTTGGAATTTAAATATACTGAGATGTAAATATTAAATTCTTAAACTGATATTTCTTTCAAATAATTCTAACATATTTAATCATTAAATAACTTACTCGAACTTAAAATAGAAATAATCGCTTTATGAAAACTTTATAAGTTTTTAGAAAAATTTTACCAAGTGGCTGAAAACAACCTAGTCTCTTTCTTTTAATTATTAAATTTTCTTCGACATATAAATAAAAATACATATATTTGTATGCGAAGGATTACAAACTTCTTTATTTTTTATTACAGTTGACACTTCATAACGTTTCTATTCTGATAAAATTTGTAGTCTTGGAGATAAATTGCTAGAAACTATCTTCATCACAGGTTGTAGATAGTAGTCGGTTAATCAGGCTCTTTTCTTATAACTTTTCAACTGTAAAAATAACCGATTTTCATATAAATGTATTTTCAAACAAAGCGATTATTCTTAGCGCAAAAATTTATAACTGAACATACTTTTTGATAAGAGTGTATAAGATATTTCTCCCGCTTTCTTAGCGAGCCTTCGTGGTGTAGTGGTATGCACGCTCAGCGCGTAATTGAGAGGTCCGCGGTTCGATTCCCGGCGACGGCGTTGCATATTTTTCATTTCTTCTGCTTACAAAAAATACCTAATGTCTCTACAAGTGGTAGAAGTTAATAAAATCTGTATCTTCAAATCTCTGAAAAAGAATTATATCGCACTGTAAACTAATTAGCTCCATTTGCAGATTTTCTGCTGCGTTATTCATGTTTGTTTATGATGAAAATGAAAATAACGTAAACATGGACATAAAATAATTAAAATCTTGAAACAGTTGCAATATCATAATTGAAATATCTTAGCGGGTTGCATAAAACTGCTTCGGCAATCGCATGCGGTCCGCTGACCCCCAGTCAGAGACCACTGGTTTAGGGTATCTGCGCCATTTCTCGAACAGACATATTCTTAGTTTGTAGAGGTTCAGAATAACGGAGAGAAATTAAACATCTTCCAATCATGTCACATGCATATTTGGCTGGATTCAAGCCGGGTGATCTTCATGGCAACTCGATATGAAATAATATTTTCGATTCTAAGTACTAGCCTACAACACAATCCCTATAAACTTGCACGTTACTGTCAATAAAATGGTATTATGACCCATGGATGTGAGAAATTGCTGAATACATTGAGCAAGGATGTTGTGTCTGCACTCTATAGCAGCCACAGTTCCGCTAGGGTAGATAAGAGCGGCCCTATGCAAAAGTTTCTACCCAAATCATCGAACTACTGCGTGGTAGCGAATTTCAGGCATTTTCCAAACCCAATAACCGTTGGGAATCAGTTTGCTGACCAAACTATGACTATAAAGTTTCATTGTAGAATCCAGTTCCGGTGATCTCTAGTGTCCCATGGGAGTTCAGTTGTAGGATCTTGAAACCAGTTTAAGATTGCGAGTGTCAGTGGGACGGAAACCATTAGTCATCTTGTATACAACTGACTTGTATGTAGCCATGTTTAAAGAGTTTTCGGAGATAACACGAACCTTCTAGAGATTGCTACATATAGATCAGTTGCATGTAAGACAAGTGAGGTCTGAGGCAAGTTAATGTTCAGTGACTGACTACAGTATCTTGCTAGCAGAGCCAGAAAGCCCTACGTCTAATTACTGATCTTCGAGGCACAAATGCTTTACTTTGATATCTGCTTTACATACGGTGAGTGACGGAAAGACTAACATTCAAGACTCGGGCTACTTAAAAATGCCGCTGGCACCTTTCATAGCGCTCTGTAAGCTCTCATAACCTGGTGTCATTCAAACGATGTCTATTCATTTCTTAAAATTTAACATTTTTTTCAATTTTATGCCTGAATTCTGTAACGAGGAGATATAAAATGGCACAGAACAGGTTGTGTCTATGCCTAACACGTTTCCTTTTTAAAAAAAAGTTTGTTGTGCAATAGTTTTTCTGCAGGCTATTATATTTATATTAAGGACGTAAATTTTGTTTTTACACATTGTTTTTTGACGAATACCCTAATTTTTTCTTTGATACTTAACATTTTGATCTCAATGCAGATGTCTTTTAGAGTTATTACATTCTTTTAATGCTCGAGACGCGTGAAAAATGAGCAATAACCTCGCCAGTATTCGAACCTGGAACTCTCGAGTATGCGCCGAGTGTGCTACTGTTAACCACGAAGGCATGCTGGAAGGAGGGAGAAAATACCTTACATGCTTATCATTTTAAAGTCCGATAGGGTATTAGGGAATCCAGTTGCCAAATCCTGGTGGTGACGAATAAACCTTTTAGTTCGAACGCCGTACGCCATCTTTTAGTTTGGGGGCCACTAAAGAGACATTAGATTTTTTTAATGCTAGAGACCTCTAAAATGAGCAATGCCCTCGCTGGAACTCAAACCTGGACCTTTCAAACTCGCGCCGAGTGTGCTACCGTTACACTACGAAGGCATCTCGAACGAAGGAGTAAATACCTTATAATCTGACAGATTCTTGACAAGTGACTTTTGTTGACATTTTAAAAAAAATTGCCATACTCTTATGCTCAATCTTGAAGGTGTCATTAATACAAATATTTTAATATATATATAGTCCAGTAAGTTATTTTGCTAGAATTTCCCATAAGATCTGGCCCGTGTGCGATTATTACATGTATGCTATTGAACTATAAGTAACTAAATGCATTTTATGTATACATAATGCAGTGAAACGAATGATTAATATGTAATAAAACCTAATATTAATCTTTATCTAATGTAACCATAATTTTTATTTGCAGCGAATTGCAATGTAGAGACTTATCTTAGAGAACATGAAGGCCCAGGAATAGAACATATTGCTTTGAGCACGCGAAGCATAACAGGTACTGTTTCAAAAATGACTTCACTGGGAGTGAAATTTAGACAACCTCCAGCTGCGTATTATAATGAAGTAAGTATCACTCCAATATTATTTTAAATAAAATTTTGTGACTAAAATAGTACTCCTCACATTGAAATTCCTATTTTTAACTTGAAACTTTTTTTTAAATATTTAAAAGCAAGGCTAATAATTAGAAAGAAATTTCCGTCAAGTTTTACACCTTTAAGTGGACACGGACGTTAAAATAAAACATTCTTATTTCTTCTTCAAACTGTTTATGTGTATTTTGCATGGTTCAACATTAATGTATCTTTTATAGTGATAGAGTTAATACCTTTTTAAAAATGTAAAAATGATGTGTGCTTTTGTAGAGACATTAGGTATTTTTAAAAGCAAGAGAGATGAAAAATGAGCAACGACCTCGCCGGGAATCGAACCACGGACCTCTGGAATACGCGCCCAGCATGCTGATCACTACATTACGAAGGCATGCTAAGAAGGCGGGAGAAATACCTTAACTTGTAAATTTTTATGCATATATTCATACGTCCCTTACGCATCAAATTTAATCAAAATGAATGAGAAAGTTCTGTTATGAATAGTATCTGGATCATATAAATTAAATATGAAGGCAATTCAAACAAAATTTAAACGCAAGGTACATTTTACATGCCCCAAATTTTAAAAAATCTTAAGTGTATTAGAACTGAATATAAATATTAACTAATTGTAGGAAAACGATTCAATTAAAAATTATACGCAAGTGACATTTCAAAAACGCAAAATTCTCAAAAATCTTGAGAGCATGAAAATTGTATACACATATTTACTATTTATGTACTTGAAAAAAGTAATGTATAAATGCTTTTGCGCTGTAATGCATCACTACTTCATTTTCTCAATTCAAGTTTTGTTCAGTAGAATCAATTTCGTGTTATATCTGTAGATAAACATTATACACAATGCGTCGCTTACCATTGTATTTTATTGCTAACTTAGTTTTACCTATTGCTAACCATTTTTACCTGTTTTCACATTTTATTGTGTGAAAATTTGTTTCTTCAATTATTCTGTAGAGCATTGCAAATAAAACAATCATATAAATCCAAATATAAATTAAAACTGATATTTATTCAATTTTGTACAGCTTAAAATGCTCGATTACAGCATCATTTTAATTCTGTTTCAATATTTATGGAAAAGGAATGAATTAAATGCATAAAAGATGATTTTTTTCTTATTCTGTATAATATGTCAAATAAAAGAATATATATAGTTTAATATCTCAAAATATAACAAATTAAATAACCATGCTTTCACACATCATGAACAACTCAATGTTTTAAAATACCTGCATTCGCAAAGCGCAAATCACGCACATTGTTTAAAACAGAAAGGAAAACATTTCAGTATTTTGTTTTCACATTCAATCTTTTTGATGATCTATTTCTTGCAGAGTTCTTTATTTCGAAGGTTTCACCATCTAAAACTCACAGCATGTATGAGTTTTGATTTATGGAAGTTAATCATAAATACGAATAAGCAAACGAACTTCTTTATGCCGCTAAATTTAGAGTTCACCTTTTCAAATGCTTCAAAACAGTATGACTTTATAGTTTCCTTTATACCTATCAATAATATTTAAATTCTCATTCACAAAGGACCAGCATTAACTCGGATCTTCATTCATGGGCATTTATAAAATTCCTTTAGAGGGCGCTCTTATACATATAGGACAAACCCGCATGTTTCGTCGTGGCAAATGACCGAGTAAAAGCGCTCTAAATAAGCCCTTTTCGTATCCTTAATGCCAGATTTACAACTTTTATATACAGTACCATAGCTATTATTATTTCGTAGAGCTATTGGTTTTTGTTGTTTCTAGCTTGCTATGGCGCAGACCATGAAAAGACCAAAGGGTGACGTAATGTCTCCCTCGAGGCTCGGGCTGCGCCTCCCCCGCATCACATTGCAGTACTATAGCTTTTAACCAAACATGGTTTGAAAACAGTACAAAAGCTTTAAACTATTTTATTCAGGGTTTTATTTAACACCCAACAAAAGTTACCAAAGCTTAACCAAAATTTCTGAGAGCCAAATGAAACCAGTTAAAGGAAAATAATTTAATAACAACGCTAATCTTTTCTTGAAAAGGATAATTTAATCTTCATCTTAAAGTATACTGTTACAGTTCAGTTTTTTTCATCAGAGGGCTATGTAATACTGAGGATTTTCAAATTTAATAAATGCAGTTACAATATTTTAGTAAGGAAAAATGACTCTTTTTCCAAGAAATATCATTTAACATTAATCTTTCCTTTTCTTTTCGAAGGTAGAAATCAATACAATTAGACAACTTTTTTGAATTTTTTACAGAACGTATTGGGTAGTAATTTGCTTCATACAGATGGTAAAGATAATCTAGCATTCTAAAATGATACCATTTGAATGCTGATATCCAAAGACGTTTTATTTGCCAGTTAATATGATTTAGTATGCATCAGGATTACTAAAAAATGAGGAACAGAATTCTTAAATTCCGCATCAAATAAATATTGGCATTAAAAATGTGGTTTCCTGCAAAAATTTTAATGGGAAACGTTTAAAAATTTAAAAGGCAATATTTTTTAGGTCATTTAAGTAAAGATTATGACAAATATATATATTTTTTCTAATCATACAGTTATAAAAGCTTTACAATAAAATTTCACTGAATTTAAAATTAATAATGTAAAAGAGTTTTAACAGTTTCATTACTTTTGAATTAATCATTTCCCTTCTTCGGTGTCGATCACAGAACCTTCTACTAATAGACTAAATATTCTGGCCATTACACACGTAGAAAAAATGTCTTAATACATATTCCTCAAAGGTGGCTGGAGCGGACAGTTAAGCTTCCAGTTGACCAACCGAAGCCTGGTGACGAGATATCGTCCACAAGTTTTAATCCCAGCCATACGTACGGATAGTTAGGGTTCTAAGAACGAAAGGTACTTTAAAATAAACATTACTCTTACACAGAACTATCTAGTAAATTGTTAGCTGTTCTGACTGCACACTATTAGATAAATAGGAAAGACTGGCTTAATTATTGAATTACCTTTCATTACATTCGCCATTTTCTTGGAATTATTGGATTGAATGATATGGACAAATTCATCAGCAGAGGAGTTTTATGCAAATTTTGTCATAAAAAAAAGAGACTTACCTTTAGAAGTTTCCATGCAAAAGATATGGTGCAATTCAAATCGATTTTCTCCTTTCAGGTTGTGCTTATTCAATAAACACGAAAGATTAGTACTAAACGTATGAAAATGTACCACATTTCACTAAAACTAAATAATGACCTCTTATTTAGATTTACTCAGCATTATTGCTCATATGTCGATTATCCGACTGCATATCCTTCATCACGTAAATCTATCCTGATGAAGAAATTTAAAATGCAATGCGAATTCTTAGATAAAAAAGAAAACGTCTGGAATGTAGCAAATAAAGTAATTGTACTATATTAATACCTCCGATGTATGTTAACTTGAATTAACTTTTGCCCATTTTTTATCACATACAGCGCTTCAAGTAATTATATCGAAAAACATGAATTTCATCTAAATCTTGTTTGAAAAAATTAAACCTAAAATTCAATGATTTCATTTGAATCTTATTTTTTCCGAGCTGTTCTATGTCTCTTCAGTTAAATGTATGGTGCGTGGAGGTTATGGCTTGGTGTATATTCTTAAAAGACATGACTCCGTTTCGTTTAACCATAACTTTATTCACTCACACCATAATTTTAAACACAACTATCATAACATAATGAAATAACAGAACAGAAAACTACTAAACTAAAATTCGTATATCCTACACTCGAGCTGAAGGCGAAATGGGCGAGTTCACTGCCACACTATCAGTTTTTACAAACACAACATGACGTCGTCTAGCGGCGCACGCAACCGAACATCAGACTGCCACAAATGCTAGAGGACTTAAATATTACGTAACTTTTAATGTCGCATTATATTTTCTTCATAATACGTAAAATAAATTCGATCATTAAAATATCTATGGCCTTTACTTTAAGCAATTAATTATTTAACGGGCCATGAAAACTTCATGTGATGAGTTTCGGATTTTCACTCACTTTATGATTTTGCCTTTATAAGGAATTTCTTGCACTTTTTCCTTTCAGTAGAGGATAAAATTTGATAAAGTTCTTGATATGAGAAACCTTGCGGTCTAATAGTAATCTGGTATTCAAATTCTACCGATTCCACTGGTCCTCATTTACTTTGCCATAGTTGCTTCAACAGATTAAAAATTCTTAATATCTCATTTTTAATAAAGAAAAAAAGGAGAGGTAATTCATTATCATATTTAATAAGCGAGAAATATTTTTAAATGTGATTATTACCAATAAAAAATTCAATGCCTTTCAATACTACCTAAGTTGAACATGGAATCACAGCTAGTTAATTCATAATCATCAATCCTACAATAAGAAATATAATGCATAATAACGCTTGAACAGATTTTAATCACAAAAAACAACTCAATAGTATACTCTTAAGGCAGGTCATTGCCTTCTTTAAAATTTGTTATACAGATTCATAACCTCTCTTAAGATCGCCTTCTTAGTTTCTTATGATACACCTACGTCACTTACTATCTTTTATTTTCGAATAATACTTTCCTAAGTTCTGAAAATTGCTCTTGAAGTTGAACTAGAAGCGTAGGATTCGCAAAACAATAGATTCAGTTAATCAGATTTTAACACTACTGATAATATTTGCTTTCTTATAAATTCAACGCCAAACAAATGCGTTTTATGTTTTGAATTATTTGTTCTAGTGAGCCAACGACGAATCTTATTCAATGTATCTACGTTTATGTTAAGAGGTCAATAGAACAACTGACAAATATATGGGTAAATTTTTCGTCTTCGAATTTAGCCCTATTGTAAATCAAGCACTAGTTGTCACAGTTCTTCTCAAAATTGTTTCTCTGCTTCAAACTTCAGGGGGAAAGAGAACCATCGTATTTTTTAATGTAAGATTTTTTTTAGCTTCCGTATTCTATTGGAATATGAACTTTATCTACATTTTAGTGGTGAAAACAGATGAGGGATACCCTACAGAGGAAACCATTTTTTGCTAAACACGCTTTTTTTTTTTTTTTTTTTTGTTAAAATGAGAGGATTTGTTGTGAATTAGCAGTGTTTAGAATTTCATTAACACAACGTCTGCCATCGCATCACGGGCAGTTCTCTTTAAAAGTTTAGAGCAGTTTCGTGATGATCCCAAGTGCTTCTCAATGAATATATAATAGATTTTAGAATTTTCTATAAGAGTGTGTTAGGATTAAAGTTATAAATTATGCAACATAGAATGCTGGGAATCCATACATTTAATTTTTTGCTGATTTAAATTGAACTACATACCTATATATCTATTCAAAACCAATAAAGTGAGGGTATGGATTCATGCAATAACTGCATGAAAAGATTGGTTATGTTACGAAATACATTTTATGAAAACAGTCGTTACTTGAGAATGTAAAACGAAATATGTTCTTACATGATATGTTTCATTCTCTTGAAGAGATCACCGATGATATTCATGAAATGTATCTGTAATTAAGATAGCATTGTCGAGACACCATGAAGATCTTTATTTACCTTATGTTTCAAAACACCAAAAGTTATTTCTTTTTAAAATCTAAGGACACATTTATATCATTTTTCCATTAAGAGATTAAGAGAGTTTTCAGAAACTGTTATGGCGTCAACTGGGTAGTACTTTTCATGCGATTGAGTCCCCCCAAACAAGTTAAAATTATTTTTAAGTTCCCAACGCAGCCCCACTTTCATGATTTTCCAATGAAGTCAATCATGCGCCAGCGTTTAAATATGCCTTCTTTACTGATATAATGTCAAAGATCAATTTTACAGAAGGTTGTAGAGACATTAGGTTAATTGGAAGCATAAGTCGTGAAAAATTAGCAACTCCTTCGCCGGGAATCGAACCGCGGACCTTTGGAATACTCGTGCAGGCCACCACACCACGAAGGCATGCGAAGAAGGCGGGAGAAATACCTTATAAGGTCAGCTGTTCATTGGGCGGACCAACAGCACTTAAATAGCTTGCAAACAAGAAGATTCTGTATTTATTCACTTGTAAAAACGCAGCGTTTCCATTCACGGAAATTTGCTTTGTAACAACTTTTTCTGAACAGAAGCTACCCGTGTTTGGTGGTTTGACGTTGCGAATTATTGTAAGAAAGAAAAATATAAAAAAATTATAATATAACAAAGGGATAACCCGCTTATCGATTCGAAAAGATACTGCCAATGAAGAGTTGGCAGGCCCCATTTAAATGGTAGAGAGAAATGAACCCTGGAAAATACAATATTTATAAACTTCTAGTCTGAGAGAATAAAGAAGTGAAGCCAGGCATTAACAAAAAATAAAAAGTATAAATAAATAAATAAAAATATAAATAAAATAAATTAGCGTAAAGCTAACTGTTAGTAAGACGGAAAGCCTAAATGTCACAATTTCAGTACAGTAATCATCAACAGTGGAGCTGTCAATGAATAGTTGGTGTAATGATTACAATAAACTTGATTTTAGGAATAATTTGTTATTAATTAACTGGGTTGTTAGTGCACGCACATTCATACATACCTATATACAAGTGGGGGAAGTGCATAGTAGGAGATAACAGAGATTTGGTTTTCATCTTCTCTTGCCTCATCCTTCTTTATAACAGCTATGCCATAGGTAACAATTTTCATATCTATAAAGGAAATATATTCTGTTAGCAGCTTTTAGAGGAGATATTGTAGTCTTTCTTTACCATTAGCTTAATTCAATATGGCAATAAAGCTACTATGCCTATTTACCTTAGAGGAAAAATGCTTTCGTGGAGGACTTCCTGAAGGAAACTGGCTCGTATTCACGTTACGTATGGGGCGAGAAACAAAAGCCAACTATGCAGCCAGTTTGTTTGCCTAGATATGAAACAGAAGCAGGTCGAACTACCAGTATCCAACGGTCTTAACCACTAGGCTACGGGCGGTGATCTTTCTTTACCATTAATAAAGTAGCTGTTATTTTGCTAAATATAAAGAAAGGTGAAGCTTTATCATAAATTTCTCTCTAAGAACTTTTAATATTTGATTTTTTTTTAAGTCTTATACCGAAATTTATTTTCTTTTATAAATTTGGCGCTGCACTTTTCTGATTTTGGTGTCTTTATATTTCCGATTCTTCATTAGAAATTGAATTACTTTTTTGTGTTATTAACAAAATCAAGAACAAGTTATGAGCTTTAAAGTTAGCCTAATTATGTATATTATTCTATATTTTATTTTAGCTGAAAAAAGTTCGAGAAATTCAAGAAATTGGAGAAGATTTAACTGAGCTAGAAAAATTGGGAATACTTTTGGACAATGAAGTTGAACCAGGCGAAAATAATGAAAAGGATGGGAGCCCAAAGTAATTTCTATTCAGCATATTTCCTTTTTTCAAAACTTCGTTACTGTCATTTCTAGCAGTTCATGTAAAAAAGATGCATCTAGAATATTGCAGTTATAATTTACGCGTTAAAAATTATTATTGCTGTTCTTATAGCATTTAGTACTGTGAATGACACTCGTATTAAATGAGCAATATAAGGATTAAACCGTCAAAGACTTCCTGAAACAAGTAAAAAGAATCTAGTATTTTCTTTTCTTATAATGGCTATTTATAATGAAGAGATCACATTTTTATATTTTAGTGCCACAAATATCAAATTTCATGCATGACTTGCTTCACTCTTAAAAACAACATGCAGTACAGAAATCAGTCATGTGCAAGACATTTTAATATACAGGGTGTTTATAAAGTCCCGGACCCATTTTGATGTTTAATAACTCATAAAATAATAAAGATAGATTAAAATTAATAACATAAATGGTTAGATAGACTCAAAACTTTTCATGACCCTTGTCAATGAACTTCAACGTGTGTCCGCTTCGTCGCACGGAGAATCTCAAGTCGATATTCAATTTCACGCCAGGTACCGGCAAGCTTGTCGGCATCCACAGAGGCTATTGCTTATGGTGTATGCATTCTCCTTAATATCCGTTCGAATAAAACATCACATACGTAAGTAGTAGAACAAACACATCAAAAGTAAACATAACATTGCAATAGTCGCCAAAAACTAAAGAGAGAAAAATGAAATTAATAAGAAGATGAGATTTAGAAAAGTACAGATATTTAGAGACTGGAAAATGAAATTATCTGAAATTAACCACACGCGCAGACGACATATAAAAAAGTAAAGATATTCAAACCTGAAAAGGAAAATATATGTTATTCCATCAATAAATGCCATAAGTTTGTTTATATCTTCATTATTTCATGAGTTATTAAACATCAAAATGGGTCCGGGACTTTATAAACACCCTGTATATATTACTGAAAATGTATTCTCGCCCAAGAAACCGACAAGTGGCAAATTTTGGGTGTCAGGCCGAAAACATCACGGACGAAAATGGCGCGGAGAAAACAACGCAAAGCGAAAACGTTGCAGTATAAAACTTCGTGGGAGAAAAGAAAGAAAACATCCCAGTTCTAAAATATCGTGGTAGAAAATAAAGCAGTTTAAAAACTTTACAGTTTAAAAACATCGTCGTCGAAAATATCGTGGTAAAAATAAAGTACCTACAAATCATCGCGTGACGATAACATCGCACACATGCGTTTTTCAGGTTTTAAAAATAAGTTCATTTTCGCGTAATGGTTAGGGAGCGCAAGAAGGAAAGAGGGATATTTTTACTTCTATGTTTCATATTTTTGAATGAACTAATAACTTTTTGTAGAAAACTAAGAAGGAAATTTAAGCATTTAAAAACTGAAAATAAAAAAAATTAAAGCAACTTGCAGCATTTAATTTTAAATTTACATAGTTAATTGCATATTTTATTAATTTTTTATAAAGTTTTACTGATAATGTTCATGAAAAAATACAGCCTAAATATGTTCAGAAAAGGGAAGATAAATAACTGCATCAGGTTACCTCTATACAAATTGCTTAGTTAAATATTAAATTGTTTTCTTTCACGATTATTAATCTGTTATTATTTACTTAAAATTATATCTTGCTCTGTTTCCGTTTATTCTCATTATATAGTGTCATTAACATTTTCACTCTCTTTCCTTCTTGCGCTACCAATTTATTATATGAAAATGCATTTACAACTTTTAAAACCTGAAAAACGCATGTGTGCGATGTTATCATCATGCGATGATTTGTAGGTACTTTATTTTTTACCACGATGTTTTTAAACTGCGAAGTTTTTGAACCGCTTTATTTTCGACCACGATATTTTGTACCACGATGTTTTAGAACTGCGACGTTTTCTCTTTGCTTTCTTTTCTCCCACGATGTTTCGCACCACGACGTTTCCACCTTGCGTTGTTTTCTCCGCGACATTTTCGTCTGCGATATATTTCGCTGTAACCAAATTTTTAAGTAAAAGAAAGGCTTTCTTTATGAATTACTCACTGTGTACACTGCATGCAGTCTTAAGATTTAAAAACCAGCTAAACTGAAGCGGGCTATATTCCCTACCCCCAAGATTTCGAATCAGCTAGAACTCAAATTTCCCTGTTTCCTGTAAAAATAGATTATAATGTACGATATATATATATATGTGTGTGTGTGTGTGTGTGTGTAAAGAGAGAGAGAACAAAAATTTAGGATCAAGTTCATAAAAAACCGATATTAAAAAAATTTTATCCCTGAATTTTCTTCTACGACCTTCCTTCTAATGAGGACTGACTGCAAATAAGAACTATGAAAAATCGACATTCGAAGAAAACGGCTTTCATCACTTTTAGTGCCTGTTTATTGGTGCGTTCGTAAACCATTTAATTGCTTTTGTAAATATCGACTTCTTTAATACACTTTCATCCTTTTTTAATTTTTTTCCCCTATAATTTTAATTACTAAATAATCTCCTATAATCTCAAAATTACAGGTTTTACTTAATACTTAATGATTACTTCCTGATTACTATACGTTTCAATGATTTATGATTTTACTTCAGCCATCAGAATATAGTCCACAAGGTATGAAATCCGGTGAACTAGAGGATGATCTATTAAAATGATAGTTTCCTTTGAAATCAAAAGCAAGACTTGTAGAGCCATTAGGTATTTTTTGGAAGCAGGCAAGATGAAAACTGAGCAACGCCCTTGCCGGGAATCGAACCACGGACCTTTGGAATACGCGCCCATTGTGCAGACCACCACACTACGAAGGCATGCTAAGAAGGTGGGAGAAATACCTTATATACTTTCCATTTTAAGGGGCGACTGGGGTTTTAGGGGACGCAGTCGCCGAATCCTGGGTGTTTAGAATCATCATCCACAACCCTTTTAGTTCGGGCGCCACTTTAGAAACATTGGGTATTTCTTGGAAGCAGGCAAGATGAAAAATGAGCAACGCCCTTGCCGGGAATCGAACCACGGACCTCTGGAATACGGGCCCAGCGTGCAGACCACCACACTGCGAAAGAAGGCTAAGAAGGCGGGAGAAATACCTTATAAACTTTACTGCATAATTACGCTGCGTAAAGAGGCAAGGTAATTAATTATTAAAATGTCCTTACGAAATCAAGTCCTCACCCAACCTTCTGAATTCCATTCGGAATTTATTAAAGCCGATGTATATAAATATAACCTGACATTTTTTTCCTAGAATACTGAATTTCAGGATGTATGCATGAATTTCTTTCAGATATTAGGTCTATTTCGTCTTTGTAGAACACTAAAATTGGTGTCTGCTGTCTTCCTCTTCAAATGAAAATTCTTAATAAATCATTTCTTGCGAATTAAAAAAAAAACTTTTGAAAGCAAAGTTTCACTAGTTGAGGTGAAATTTCTTCTATCTATGCAATTAGTGGAATGTGTGATAAGCAAACCACCAACTTTTTTCTCAAGAAATATTTCGTTGGTTGAAAAGTTCCGGATTATTTCAATTTAGTCCTATTTTAGTTATTACGAGGGTTGGAACTTTAATAGTGGCAACTATTTATTTACAAGAAATACAAAAGTGATTCATGTCACCATGTTTTACAGTCCTTCAATATAGTCGCCAGCATTGTGTACAACCGGTTTCCAACGATGTGGAACTCGCAGAATACTTGTAGCAGCGCCTGTTTTGTTGATAGTTTGAATGGACCGGTCTACTGCCGCAAGAATCTCAGGAACTGTTTGGAAGCGAGTGCCACGAAGTGGTTCCTTCATCTTAGGAATTAAGTCATAGTCACAAGGGCTTAGATCTGGGGAGTATGGTGGATGGTAAAGCACTGCCTAGCCCCATCGCTTGAAGAAATCAGTCACAACTTGCGCTGCATGCGGCAGAGCATTGTCATGCAAAATGAGAGGAGCGTTCTGCAGAAAGTGTCGCCGTTTTTTTCTCAAAGCTGGTCGGAGATTGTGCTCCAAAAATGAGCAGTAATACTGCGCAGTGACGGTCTGCTGTGGGAGAACGGTATGCGTTAGGATGACACCATCACAGTCGTACACGAGAATCACCATAACTTTCACATTGCTGGGGTTCTGACGAAATTTCGAACGTTGTGGTGACCCTTCAGTTCTGGCTGGTACGATCGGCCCAAGTCTCATCCAGCATAATGATACGGCGTAAAAAAGCATCTCCTTCGCGCTCATAGCGCTCCAGGTGGGTTCGGGCACCATCGTATCGTAGCCATTTCTGCATGTCCGTCAATTGATGTGGAACCCATCGTGAAGCAATTTCTCATGGACAGGCGTTCCTTCAGAATGTGCAACACAGTGGTATGCGCTAATCCTGTTTGTCCGGCCAGCTGACGAATCGTTTGGCGGCGATCACTGTCCATTAGTGCGGCAACAGCTTGCACCTCTGCATCGCTGACACTCGGACGACCTGGCCGCAGCATGTCTGCCACGTTTTGGCGTCCTTCATTGAATGCTTTCACCCATCTTGCTACAGTTCTGTAAGGCAATGCAGATTCCCCGCAAGCCCCTGAAGCCCTTGATGACACTGTCGTGCTCTACGACCTCTGGCACATTCAATTTTTATCCAACATCGTTGTTCTTGTTTTGAAAACATCCTGACAACACTTACTTTAGACCGCGAGCTAACACAAGGATTCGTTCTTCGCGTCACTCCGCATGCGCGTGACGTAGGCAGGACGAGTCTTTTTGCTGAGAGGTAAGGTAGGTATGTAGTTTACGTGTGGTATACGCGATATTCTTTGGTTTCTTTGGCGTTTTTTCAGCTGTGTTGCCACTATTAAAGTTCCAACCCTCGTATTTTATTCTATTTTAATTTAATCCTAAATAATTTTTGCTTTCCAGCATTTGCATCTATAGCCGCAGATATCGGCAGCATAAATTCAAAGGAAAAATTATATTGAAACTATTCTATATTTTGACGACTCTGACTGCCGTATTAAAGGGCCCAGTTTCGAATTTGGTGAAGGGATGGATATAGATTGTATGTCCTTTTATAGGATGTAACAGTGGTCGTCTATAAGGTGCCTCTATAATAAAATAACCACCGCTTCTGGCCTTAGTAGTGGCCAAAGTCTAAAATGGCTAGTGTCTGTCATAAAACATATTTTGAAGAAAAACATTGAGATATGTTGGAGAATAGTACCTTTGGTTATTATTAACAGATTCAACTATGTTTACAACGAACATTTTAGTTATGAAATTTCAAACCTCAGAATAAAGCATTCGGTAAGAAAACACCCTTGAAGAAACCCAGAAGATAGGAATAGTACGAGAATATGGACAAACGGCGATTAAAACTGTAACATGATAACTAAATGTATTAAGCTGCAAAGCCAACTGTCATAAAAACTACGTCATTTTTTCGGATCCCTCAGTCATATCATTTGAAGTTACTTGAGATGTCAAATAGGATTTAATTTCTAAGATACAAATTATTGACATCCAAGGAAAAATATTAGGGAAACTAAATCATTTTGATCGATTGGTCGGTCCAAGAAATTAGGTTTTGTGATAGGCTGTTATCAAAATTTCATTTACGAACATACCATTTCGCCTTAATTTTACTTTTATTTTAATTTTTACTTTTATTTTGATGTGGAATACCGATTTTCATTATTTCTAGTTCGAACTGGGGGTTTTATCACTTTTTTTACTCCCTGACATGAATTTTCCGTTTTCAATTTAATAATTTATTTACTTTTATTTCAGTACCTTCTATTATTCCACTCTATTTTTCATTTTTACCCTGTAGCCTAAAATACGTTTATTTGGTTCGAGATTATGTATAATGGTATTATTTTTTCCTTTCCCGAGTAACAATTTTTTCACTCTGTCTTCCATCGGGAGCATTTTTCATTACAGTCGTTGTATAAGTTTTTTCTTCTTCCTTACCGCGTGCCTTCGTGGTGCAATTAGAAAGTATGTCCAGCTAGCAATCGGAAGGTCTAGAGTTCGGATTCTGGTGAGCGCAATGCAAATGCTTCACCTCTGATGAAAAATATAAAAGTGGTGTACAGTACTTCGTTACCATCGGGCTGGAGATTGGGTCCCGGCCTCCACAATCGCAAAAAAAGGTTCTGCTTTGCGTCAAAAATTTCTGATTTAAGAGCTCTTTAATGTGAAGCTTATAAGGCTGCCAACTTGATCAATGTATTTGGTTGTCTGAAAACGTCGTCGTGTCGGACAACAGCATTTGCTAATTAAAAAAAAATTCTGTTTTTCAATATTTTGCACCTATCATGAAGGTTAAAGATTTCTTTATTCTTGAATTTCACAGTCTTCGAGACTTCACAGTCACCTCGAGTCGACTACTAACTTGTCAACTCGATTTGTCAAATGGATGAAAGAAATGCATTTCATGCATTAGGAAATCCTGAAAGAAACTATGAGATGACAGTGTAAGTGAGCAATATTCGTAAAGAAAGCCGGATCAAGTAGGACGGTGGGTACATCCTCAATTCCAACAGCTTCTGCCATTCTCGCAAAGAGATGTGAAATCTGATATTGCCCTGTTAAAGATCAGTGTCTGTCTAATTCGCAGAAATAAGGCAATTTATTGTTTCTGTCTGAAAACCATTCATGGGTAGGCAATGCTTATCATTATTTTCCATTTTTATATCTCAGCAAAATCTCATAGCTCTATCCCGCTTTACAGTCCTATTCAATTCGAAGCAAAACACTAAACATATCGTATCCTATTCAGGTATCAGTTAAGGGTGTGTCATCATTTTGAAAACCTTTTCCTCCTTAGATTTGTTTAAACGATAGAATTTTCATCTCTAGTGACTAGTCTTCTTGAATAAGATTAATTTTAATTGCATTTCAGAAAGCTATCGCAGATGGAAATTTGATTAAGCTACATTCTTTCGAGTAATTTCTGTAGAACTTATGCCTCAAAATGAAGGGCATAGCTACTGCCACATCCACAATAATGTAAATGATATTTTTTTATTGGTGAAGTTTCTATGCTAAATTCTTGTACAGACTGACCATTAACTATACGCGGAACTGTTTCTCATCAGGAACACACACTTTTCCCAATGCTTGCAATCTTCAAGATTAAACTGGAAAATATCGCAAACCATTTATTAACCGTACGTCTACTCTTTTATCGGTTATTTTTTATAGAACTTGTATACAGACCCTTATAATAGGGGTAACATACGGGCCACAGCCTTACAGCTTTATAGCTACTTCTTTTAGTTTCTTTCCACACTTTCCAGCATGAAACGATTTACAAATTTCATATGTACTATACCTTATATAGTTACAACATTTACACGTAAAGATGATAGGACTCGCTAACTAATGATTAACAAACAAAACAAGTTTGAATGAATATTCCGAACAATTCGGGAACGTTAACACAGTGTTTTATACCAAATTTCAGAAAGATGTGTAGAAATCTTGTGTTCCAGACTTGTTCAACTATGGTGAATGTAAATAATTTTTTATGTTAAAGAGTAGAGAAGGAAACCATCTGTTTCAGTAACCTTGGTTTATTAATTGTGAGAAATTGTTCTTCATTGATTTAAAAATTCTGTTACTCTTTTTTTCTTTATAAAATAAATAAGTAAATAACTCACTGTTACTGTTCTCACAGTAACTGAAACCGCGGATATTTCGCTCACATTTACTTTTAGATAACAAACATACCCTTTGTTTATATTTCATTCACTTTTAATTATTACATAAATCTTGTAAAGAGCCCAAAATCTTCATGATCTGGCTTCTGTTATTCTTTTGCTATTATTACGCCATTCTCTTCTCATAGGGCTTCAAATGTTAAAACAGGAAGGAATGAAAAATTTTAAGTAAATTCGCAACAATTACTATTGAACAGCCCGGAAACATTTAGGTATAGCGCGAAAATGTATCTCATTTAATTTGTTCTCCTAAATCATACAATACTCGCACACGCATCTTTATCTTTACCTTTTTACCATCTACCGGCCAGGCTATCGGCTCGCCTATTCTACGATTGTGTTCTCGTAACTGGTGGTCCAGGCTAGGCTTTTTCTCGGGAACCGTTCTTTCATTATGCTGTAGGTGATCATTTTCTCACACATTAGTGAAAAGAATTTTTCAGAGTAGATCTTTTTGATTGCTGTGATTTAAACTAATAAATAGTGCAATGCAAAATTATAATAAAATAGTTAATTTACTATTTAAAGGTAAAGCTCAGAAGAGCTGTTTGCTTCAGGAAAGGGATGCTTCAGTGAAGGATATTTTAAAGGAAGCTGTCCTGATATTTTACACATGGGGTAAACGGCAAAAAATCCTTGAAATGCAATGTTGCCGGAATTTGAACCCGATATGAAGTACTAGAATGACGTTCTTACCCATCTGACCACGGAGTTGGCCAGATGGATAACTCCGTGGTCAGATGCATAAGAACCTTCCTTCCTTAATCCTTATCCCATAAGAAATGATGATAAAACCCTTATCCCATAAGAAATGATGATTTTTCAAAACATCTTCGAATTAGTATTTCATTAAGCGTTTATTGAAGTATGAATTTACATATCCAGACAAAATCAGTCGAAAAATTTCATGCGAAGCTACCGTGCAAGTTTTTAAAATGTAATTTTTAGAGGTTTAAAAATAGTCTCCATGACGGAAGGGAAGGGAGTGGACACAACTGGAAACACAGGTAAAGTTTTCTTTGTATCTCAGAAATGCTTATTATTTATGAAATATGTTCCTCTAGATGAGCAAATACATCTGAAATTTCTTAACCGTTAACATGGTAATCCAGGAATTTGTCATCCAGGTAAAACACGTCAGATTTCAGAAGCATTTAATTATTACATATTTCCTTGTGTTCAGATCTTTACATAACAATTTAATATAATGCAGATTTTTTAATTATACTTTTAGGTACTTGATGCAAATATTTGCGCATCCGCTGTTTTCAAGGAAAACGTTTTTTATAGAAGTCATCGAGAGGTCTGGTGCGAGAGGTCTTGGTGCTGGGAATATCATAGCTTTAGTCCGATCAATTAGAGAAGAAGAAAAACGAAAAATGGCGGAAGCGAAGCAGAAAACGCTGAATGAAGAAAATATTTCAAGCCCGAGACGATTATGCTGACAAGATTATGAGTGAAATGCTAGACGGACACTTCTGATTCTAAGTGAACAGTTTTCCACTTTGAGAACTGTAACTGTAACCTATTGTATTAGTTAAGAAAAATTAACAACATTCGTGTCTTAGTGGTTGACATATAATTCAAGGTTAAGTTCAAGAACTTATTGTTAATAGTGACGAAAAGATCACATCACATTACGGATATTAGAGATTTTTATTGAGAAGTCAATGATTGCTTTATTTTTCAAGTGTGCAATAAGAAATGAGTTTTTCTATGTAAGCATTAGCATTGCAAAATTAATGCAGTATGCTTTAATGGAGAAATTAGATAAATGTTAGTGTTTTTCTTAAAAATAGCTATAATGATAAGTAGTTATGAACTTAAAAATAGATTATATTTTTTCTTTATTTTTTGTGATCTGAAATATCATATGTGGTACTTTTTATTAAGGTAATTTAAGAATTGTGATCTGTAGTAGGTGTTGGAATTAATGTTTCTAAAAGATATTGAGAAATAAAATTTATGAAATGTGTTATTATTAAAGCAGCATATCTCATGTATCATCTGCGACTGATATTTTGGTACTCACTCATTTTTTATTTTTAAATTTTAAAGCTTTTAAATCATATCGTTATAGTGAAAGAGACATTTCAATACACTGTAGAATAAGAGGTTGAAATGGTCTTTTTATCGATTAGTAGTTTTTTTTTAGGAAAGTAAAAGAGAGGTTATTGATTTATAACTTGTGAAATCGTTGTGAAAGAATAGAAATCAAACAGTCATAGCATGTTCCGTGTGGGAAGGCAAACAGCCTCAGTTATGCTGTCCTGTTTAATAGTATTCATTCTGTACGACTCTTGCCAGCTTATGATAGCTGAACTGTTGAAACAAGTACTCTGCATTGAGAGGTTTTAAAAATACTGTGATGAAGTAACCATTAAATGAAGGCCTGAGAGCCAAATTTTGACATGTGTAAACAACATTTAACAGAGTCATCTTTTATTTTATAAATTATTACTGTAGAAAAGAGTTGTAATAATTTTGAAAACACACTTTAGTTTAAACAAAATTTGTTCTTTGTGGTTATAGATTGAGCATAAGCTGGTATTATTAAAAATTAAAACTCCTTTCTAAAGTAAGTGGTTGCTCATACCTTCTAAGTTAACTAAAACCGACAACTGTTTGGAACATTTTTCTGCTATGAATAGACTGATGTGATTTGATTTGACAGAACGCGGATTTAGATTTGAACTGAATATCAAGCGTACTTTCCCCATGAAATGCACTGAAAACATATAGATAAATCACATTGAAATAAAGAAGAGAATACAGATACATTTCGACTAAGACAGCATTTTTGTTATAAGTAAAGTGATTGTAACTTCTACTTTCCAAATAAATATAAAAGTATAGATAATAATTATTTTAAAGTGAGCAAATTTGATAGTTGATATGCTCGACAATCACAAAAAGGTAATATAATTTTATAACTATATTGACAATTAGCATTTTTTAAATATTATAATAAATCTTTCGAAATCTGAAGGAAAAGTTTCATTATCAATCATCATAGCTTAATAGCCAAGTATGCTTAAATAAATATTACCTATGAAATTGCTATCAGCAGAATGGTGCACAGCGAAAGTTATTTCTTTAGTAGTAGCCTTGGAAGTGAAAGAAAGAAATAAAATATCGTAAAATAAACTTAAATGCTTATTGCTTTTAATTCTCTACCTGCATATATTTTTGAACTCCGTCTCTATACAGCCTGCCAAGAAGTGTCGATTTATGTGATGGTTTACTGACAATTTTCATGGTTTCTTTATTTTAAGTCTTTAGAATGATCCAAAAGATGATATTTTAAGAAAATATCGCATAAAGAACAGACTAGATAGAAGCTCACTAATTTGAATTTTAATATTAGAGAAACTTAACCTTAATTGATTTTATATAAAAGCTCTTTTAATTTTGTTTCCTAAATAGTGAACGCTGTTTAAGAAACAAAGTCATAAAAAGATCTTACCAGAAATGCATTGGCCTCTTTTATAAAATCAACTTCAATCTGAGGTTGAATGATTCTTAATTTTAAGAATGGCACATCCGTGTTTCATTTGACCTGAATTACATTGTAAAGGAAATTAAAACTAAAGCAAAAATACTGCATGATTGTATTTAAAAGCCTAATATGCAAAATGTAGGTTACTTTCGAAAGCTTTCAATTAATTCTGTATTCCCTCAATTTGAGCTTAAACGTTGTCATTGTTTTATTGCAGGATGAGGATTCCAGATACCCAAATTTTACTTTGCTGCTCAGCGTTGGTTTTAAAGAACAATAATGTGAAATAAATGCAAAAACAGAAAAAACATTTCGCAAATTTGGCTTTTCAGAATGGAGTTGTTTGCATTAGTAACTTAAGTATTAAATCCTAATATAGTGCAAATATTTTATTGACGAACTGGTTCGTCAATAAAATGAAAGCCTGAATAAAAAATATTTTTTTCCTTGCTTCGGTGCATAGATGAAAATATAAAATAATTTTCTTGTATTTTTATGCAAAAATTTCACGTTTCTTTACAATTCTTTTTCATTTTAACGACACTGAATTCTGTACTAGTATCTTTAAAGCAATTTTTAAATTTCGGTTTAGAAAATGAACTTGCAGCTAATGACTTGCTAAAATTGAACACCGAAATTCGCAAGTACTTTTAAAGAATTTGATCACTCCAGTTTCTAACAGAAAAAAAGCTCGGCACTTTTCTGTTAGTTTTTTTACGAAACTTAAGTAAAAATACTTATTTTAACGCTTTGTGTTACTTCTTAAATCTTTCAAATGAAATGTATAAAAATGTTTAGAGAATGTAACTTTTGTTATGGTTCTAAGATAAAATACTTAACTGACGTATGACGTTTGTGAGTCACTCCATTTGTAAAACATTACTGTTTCCTAATCGTAGAAAACATTTCTTTGCTAATACAATAATAATTTGTTTCCCTGTGCTGCATAACGTTTTAAGTTTTGTGACTTTCTTTCACAATAAAAGTTTTCTTCGATTGTTTTACAATAATGAGAAGTAACCTAGTAAAATCTTCGGTTGCCTACAGCAGTTTTGAAATTTTGTTATACTTATAGGGTCCTCCTAATTGTGTATAATTATAGTTAACGCAAAGTCCTTCAGACCCTATTACACTGAGAAGTGAATTATCGCTCCGTCTGAAATATTCTAAGTTCTAAGAAGGTTGCAAATATTTTTTTTTTATTAAATCTTTAAATGAACAGAAAGCACAACTTGTGCCTACAAATAAACTCCGCCACTTGTATTTAAAATAACAAAGATTCCAAAGTACAGTGTCTCTATTGTGACAAAGATTTAGAAGCAATAACAATATTTAATAATCTGCATCTTTGCTATATTTTTAATAACGTGAATACCTCATATAGTTTTAATGCATCTAAGACATATTTTTCAGTAACATTTCGCATTGCCTGTAGTTCATAAAACTGGTTCTTGAGCTTGTATTGTATACTCAGATATAGAATGAAGAATTCTTATTTTATTTCCATTTTATTAATATAGCTACTTGATATGATTAATAAGGTATCTAACTTATATTTTTTAAACACTTACAACATTAGTATAGTTTATGAAAGAATTTCTAGCGCCATGTATTATACTTATTTTAACGAGTTTAGCTGCAGACTGATAGCTTTTAATTAAATTATTATTAATGGCATATAAATTTTCACATTTGTTTTTCGAAACACAGAGAAAAATAATAGAGATTAATTAAAGACTTTTCAAAATCTTTCCGTTCTGCGGTTTTTTCCAAAGAAATTTATTCACTAATTTTTCCAAAGCAAAGCATATTTTCCTAGTTTCATGCGTTTTTACCACTTTTAATTTCAGATTTTTTAATCAAGTAACTGCTTAATTAAGAAAATTAGAATAGCACTTGATATTGGATTATTGAATCTAGATATAGACAATGATTACTCTCATAAATCAATTTATTAAAAGGACCTATATTAAATTATTTCAGTAAAGTTAAAATATTTCAGTGAGTATGTTTCTCCGCCCAAGAGCGGCCGAGCGATAAAAGCCGCTGAACACTGGTAGGTCGGTTCGGATTCGAGTCCCAGCGAACGGACTGGCTGCATGGGCGTTTTCGTAGTTTTTCCCATGTGCAAGCTGGATAAGAGCAAGTTTCTCTTAAAAAGACATCCACGGGGCGTACCACGTAATAAGTAAAGTAAAAATATGTTACTTTGGAACTACTCTGATATGCGCCCTCAAGTCGCCAAATCTTTCGCCAAACATTTTTGGCCTGAAACTTCACGCTGCTATATTACTATCTAAATTTTTTGTCTACATTTCGAACTTTAAGCCTAAAATGTCTCCAAAAACGCCGTTTTCGCACATGCAAAAACCACGTTTTGAACACACAATTTAAGCTACAAATCCGAAACAAAAAATTTAGATAGCAAAAACGTAAATTTTCTAACCAAAAATATTTGACAAGAGTCCATGTACACAGCGATATGTTTTAACTTCAAAAAACATCTACGAATGGCACAATCTAGGCAATGAACGAATCTACGAACTACGCACACCTCGCTTTAATAAATTAACATAACAACAATAAATTCCAAAGAATACCATGTACACAGCATCCTGTTTAAACTTAAAGAAACATCTACGAATTGCAAAATCTAGGCAACAAACGAATCTACGAACTACGCACACCTCGCTTTAATAAATTAACATAACAACAATAAATTTCAAAGAATACCATGTACACAGCGTTCTGTTTCAACTTTGCAATCTAGACGCTACGCACTAATCAACAAAATAAACTAAAATAAATTTCAAATAATTTAAAAAAACAACAATAATGACAGAAATCCATACTAAAAAAAGAGTGAACATAACTTTCTACAAAATAAAAACAAGAATAAAATGCACTTACCATCAATTAATGCTTTTTCGAACAGCAGAAATACCAATTTTATACCGCCTTCAACGTGCCGCCACGTAATCACTGTCGTATTTATATGACAGCCAGACACACTATCCAGAAAATTAATACTATGGTTCACAATTAAATAAAATCCCAAATCCCTACTTCTATCATGCACAGCCACTAAAAATAATCCCCCAGACCCTCTTTCCACGCCTCCAAATACCCACTGCCCCTCAACAGGATAACCACGATGATATTTCCTTTTGCCGAACTTCAACAACTTCCAACATTTTATCTTTCCTCGCTATCTTCTCAGACACAGAGCATGACGCGAACCAACGAGCTCCAGCGAAAGATTTTTCAACATCAATAGGGTTGCCATACAACACGCAATCGCGCCAAAAAACAGCGCAGAACTCATATCGCCACATTTGGTGAAATTAGGGCGTATATCAGAGTTGTACCGTTACTTTTCATATAATTGCTGTTCATAAA